GACAGGTAATGACTGAGATGACGATGAAGGATGTGTATTAAATATTTAAGGTATACTTTTTATTGCGTTATGATTCTATTATCATTATGATAAGAAGATATCAGATTACTACTAGTTATAAAGCATATTAGTAAATCAGATATATCTACTAAATTGGGACATATGAGTATAACAAGAATGTATATGTTACATAAACTTCAGAGTCACCGTGTACGCTCATCAATCATTAGCCCCTAGCGACTTTATGTCTAGACAAAGTTTTTTTTTTATATATATTTCACAGTACTGGGCTACGTCAATACATGATACAATTCTAAAAAAAATTGTAGCTTGTCTAAATTTTGAAAGCACCTATTGCGTCGTAGCTCTATTTATCGATAGTCAGATTGTATTAAAAATTATGTACTTTTAGAAATTGATAGTGTTTATTCCCAAATTCTAGTCGTCAAAGCCTAACTGTGGTTGCCAACCCATTTGCCAAGTATGGCAACTATTGGTAAATCCCTCCTAATGGGCGAGACCTATGTCCAGCAGTGGACAATTAGCGACTGATATAATAATAATATATAATATTAATTCCCAAATTGTGTTGTGTAATTCTAAAAGTTATTTTTAAACGATTAAATCGATTTTGTAAAATTCTACGCTATAGTAATATCTGTTGAGAATTGTGACCAATAAAGTCCAATAAAGTTAGTTCTCATCATTCAGCCTACGTGAATTACTTAAGGTTCAATCGTATTAAGGAGGCTTCAAGAAATAAATTATAAATATACCGTATAAATAAAAAAAATGAACATTAAAAATAAACATTTCTGACGTCGAAAATTGAATGAAAACAATTTATAATGATGTCATTAATTTTTCACATTCATTCGTAATAGGATAATATCAGAAATCCCTATTCATAAATGAATCATTCAATATACTTATGAATAAAAGAACGTAATTGAAGATGACAGTCGCCTTAATAAGTCCCCAGCTGAGACTTCGTGAAAGGATTTTTTTTTCTGAGCTCATTACGAAGCTGTCCTGGTACTTTTTGAGCTTTGGTTATTTTGAGCTTATAACGTTATTAATGATATGATTGCTTAATTTATAAATAGCTATATTGATACTTATATAAATTTATTATTTAACGGTAACGTTCGCAACTTTGTTTACATGGAATTATTTTTAGTCTCTTTTGCGAACGAACGTTCATACGAGAACAAACATATGTATATGTAAATAAAAAATTGTGATTTCTAACGTTCGTATTTCTAGATTTTTAATTTTGTAAATACTTATTTTATACTTGAAGCCTTACAAGTACGAAGACAAAATTGGTGGTATAATAATTTAACACAGGGGAAAGCGATTGTTAGTAATGAGAAAATATACACTATCAGGTCGACTTCCATGTCTTTATGCCCGAAAACCATCTTGATAAATAAACCCATCACTGACCTGTTTCATCTTTGAAGAACACTAGATAGCTTTACAAACATCGATTTATTTTTAGATACGCTCATACAAAAATTGAATTCATGCAACCATCCTCACCTATTAACGCTTACTGGTGCTCTGCCAGCGTATACTGATAGCGCAGGCGAAGTTATCATTCAATTACACTTATTAAAAAAAATGCCTTTAGGTGTTGTATGCATATAATTATAATATAATATAAATTAGCAGTATATTTTAATAGTACGTACGATTCTTTTATTAAACTTCTTGCGTCAAGTAGCTACCGCCTTCTTTTTTCTTTTCTATCCAAAAGTTGTCCCAAAGAGGTTGCTTTAGCGACAAGATCGTCTTTTGTGCTTTATCTGTGTAATATGTGTTTTTTTATCGTTCTTTACTTGGTGCAATAAAAAGTAAATAAAAAAAGAAATAAACCTATTATTATTGATTTTAGAATATTTCCGGTAACCGTTATAGATAAAAATAAACATAATCACAATGTACATTTATATCAAAGGCTTTATAATTTCAAGATCTAATTTCTATATATTTTGAATGAGTACTTTCGAGAAATCCCTCAATTTAATGGGCGAGCACAAACCATTGTAGGTAAGTGCTTAAAGGAGCTTAGAATATATTTTGCTTTGTCCATAATAAACGTGTTGTAAAATTGTAAATTATTAAAACCGTCCATCCCATATTGCTTGAATAATTAAAATTCACAAGCTCAGTTTAATAAGCCGTTCAGTCTTTTATGTTATTTAGAATAATATGCTTTTGGAATGATAGAAGTACGTAGATAAAGAAGTATACTCTGTATATGTATACTCTGTTATGTCTATGGTACTGCTCATGTCTATAGGCGACGGTTACCACTATTCATCAGGTGGGCGGTCAGCTTGTTTGCCATTCTAAGTTGTATAAAAAAAATCATTATCTTTTGGATTAAGAAATATTAATTCATAATATTCTTCTATAATCTGTGGACCAAATGCTATTCAAATTAAATTTTTTATGCAACTTAGAATGGCAAATAAGCTAACGGCCTACCTTATGGAACGTGGTAACCGTCGCTTATAGACATGAGCAGTACCATGGATATAACAAGGTATACTGTTTCGCCTTTGATACCCCTCATGTGTTGTCCTTCCTAAGGACTCAGGTGTTATTCCTATGTACCCTGTAAATTCACTGCTATATCCCACCCTTCAATTCGAAAACAATATGAAATTTACAGCTACAGCTATTCGACGGCAGAAATATGAGAGCTACGAATATCTATCATACTATGTATCAAGCTATGAGAAAATTTATCTGAAAGTTAATTTAAAGTGAATTATGTACTATTAAACTTTCATAATACTGCATTAATCTGAACTTTAATTATACACTTAGAGCACTAGTTGTTGTTATTTTGAGCTTGATTAGGTTTTTACTGTAATATTATTAAAAATAATCTTAGTTTCCTCAAATAATTCCCATAAAATGACAATATAAAATTATAAGCAACCCGTTTCGGTAATTCGCAATGGAGCCCTAAAACATTGTCTGCTCTCCAATAAAGCGCGAACATAAAAACCGAAACAGTTAACGGTTTCCAATCTAATTCCAATGGAAATTATTCTATGCTCCTCCCTTTTTCTCTCATAGGGTTGCCACTAGAAACATTAATGTAAAATATTAGTTTAAAAAATATGTCTCATATAAAACAAAAATCGTATGATCCATTACATTATTTGTCATTATAAAATATATATTTTTATGGAACACATATAAAATTATATATTTTATCTAGAAGTCATGATATCTCTTGTTATTTAAATTTTGTTTAAAAGAATATTAATAATATTTTAAGATTTCTCTGAAAATACAAGGAAATATTTTAACAACATTCTGTACACAATATTGAGTGTAATATAAAATTATTTATAAGTAATGCAATATATTTGGTATATATTGAAACATCTCGTGACAAAATAGTATAACCTTAGAATATATAGATAGAGTGTCTCCATACAAATGCTTCGAGACAAGAAGGTCAACTTTTTTATACAATTTTGCGTGATAAATAATTATGAGTGATTCCTTTATAATTTCTATATTTATTTTATCTTACAAATTCTGCACCTTTTTAATGGGTAAAAACTCATTTTATGTATTAAATAATAAAATATAGAAACGTCAAGATACATTTTGTGCGTAAGTATATAGAACATTAATAAAAAAATCGTGTCAGATAATTTGACAATTAGTTGACAAAAAGGCGACCCGTTTATGAGGCTCGATGCTCTATTTATACTATATATTATCATGGGCGAAACAGTATACTCTGTTATATCTATTGTACTGCTCATGTCTATAGGCGACGGTTACCACTTTCCGTCAGGTGAGCCGTCAGTTTGTTTGCTATTCTAAGTTGTAAAAAAAATATATATATAATCTCAGAGTATACCTACATCGATTGAAATCTCGGACTTTGAACTGTCACGGATAACTTTTATATTAATTTTAAACCTTGAACAGATAGATGACAGCCCTATTTGCTAGAAACCAACCGTGATAATTGACCTCATTGCATTGAAAATTGAATGAAAATATCATTCGTATTCATTGTTACGTTTAGACATTTTTGTCCACGAAATTGTCCCTTTGTATTGAAGAGTACTTGTAATATTGTTTTGGGCTATGCATGAATTGGTTGTTTGGAATAATTTTAGGTCTTTTGTGATTTTTCTCTTTTTACAAAACTTCATTTAAATCAGTTTTGGTATTATTTGAGTAATAATTTGCTCGCGTAAAGTATATTGGTACTTATATGTGTAGTCTATGGACGCCTATAACTTAATTATATTTTATTGGTATTATTTTAATTAGTTACATAAATAATTGGAAATTTTAAAGGTCCCGTGTAGGATGATTTCAGACGAAATCGTCAAATTTTTCTTTTTGTATAACTCAACTTATTGAATGTAGATTACTTAGTCCAATAATGAACTAACTAAGAAACTAATAATAAAGAACTAATAAAGAGATTTTTCTCTAATGACTACGACATGATCAAAAAGGCGTTAAAAGGCTTTTTCAAATTTGGTAAGATGCACGAATTATTATTAATTATTATTACAGTTGCATAAGTATATAAAAAATATAAATGATAAATATATATTTGTAAGTGATATTTATTCTTTTGTTTTTGTAATACAATGGTACCAACCAGGCATACTGACCGTCGGTGATTGGTTACCGTAGTCTATTGATGCTTGCAACATCAGGGGTATCACATGAATGAATGAATGAATGAGTATACTTTATTTGCATTATACAATATAGGAAATAAACAAGACAATTTACAAACATAACGATACAATTGTGTAAATATAGTAAATACACATGTGTATTGCAGACTTTTATTTTGTTCTTTTTTTTTTTGAAGAATTCCATTCTGTGTTTATTTTTTTCTACAACTGGCAGAAAATACTTCTGAACTCGCACTTCGCTTGTTTATATTTATTCTAATTTCAATTTAAATAATTTATTTATATAAAAAAGCTTACCTAAGTGCGGCTTTGTCACAGGCATCGGGCGTGTCGACGGCGGGCAAGTGTTCTGTGTCCAAGTCGAGTTGATCTAGTTGTTCGTCGGTCGGCGTTGAACAACTCTCGGTCTTGTTTCGACTAGACGACCGGCGGACTATTGTGAGCGCGCCTTGTTCTATGGACAATGGATAATATAAAATTACTATTATATACAGAAAGATAGATCCATTTTCAACCGACTTCAAAAAGAAGGACGTTCTCTGTTGTTATTTTTTTTTTACCTTATAACTTCGTCAGATGTAAACTGACTTGTAAAATTATTTTTATCTGAAAAGATTTACTTAGAGTACGGCCTTATAAGAATTTTATCAAAATCTGTTGAGTAGTTTAGTTTTTAAATTAAAATAACTGTTTTTTTCACAATTGAAGTCGGTTTTTTATAGTGCTAGAAGTGGACATATTTTAAACGTAATAACATTCAAAGAAAATTCACTAATCAATGCATAATACAATTGCTGTATGTTTACTAAATAGAGAGTAGACAGATGGAATAAAAATAAGTGAAATATAATTTTAATAAATAAACACAACTAGACATATTACATAGCGTATATATAGCATATACAGCATCATAGAATTTGTACTATATAGGTACTTGTACTATATGTGTAGTAACACAACTGACAGAAATACTCTTTTTTTTTGTATACATAAACATATTGAAAATACTTTGAAAAAAAAAAATACATGCTAAATAGGTACATGCTAAATTACAAATTAAATAATATTATTTTACACTGTGAGTAACCCTATGAGTGACTCTGTAGTGTACATTCAAAACAGAACAATATCAGGATCTACCACAAAAATATTCACGTCATATTTCGCTTTTCTAGTTTTCGAATACATTTTAACCACTAACGTTATTACTTCGACATCACGAACTGCGACGTGACAGGCGGATGGGTTACAACATATCCGATATTTTTTAATACTGGAGATTTTAACAGAAAGAGTAAAAATCCCACTGTACACGAATAATAATTGCTTTGTATAACTAACTGATGCAAATGTACACGTTCGTTAGTATAACGCCCTCAACGCAAAACGCCTATTAAACTCGACGGGTTATACAAAGCAAATCCTATTATGTTTCGTGCTTTTTAAGCCTACAGATTTTGATTTAGGGAGTTTCGTTTTAATCGCTTCGTTATCACCATTTGTGGCGTCAGTATATTGACGAAGTAAATGAAGAAGTTTTAGTGGTAAAATAAAAAATATGTGCACTTACTGTTGAGTCATTTTATAACAGTTTTACAAAAAATGCATATTATAACACAGCTGTAGTTTACAGTTTGTCGAAAGATGAAGCTAATAAAATAATATCTAGGTAGCAATAAGTTCCTTTATCAGGTTTTACCAATAGTTGATTGAACGATGGTTGATACTTTGGTAGACCTCTGTCCTATTCGTGTTTCAACCGTGAAGCAGTTGTGTTTGCATGGCTGTGTTTCGGTTTGAAGAGTGGGACATTTTTTTTCAGGAATGGCAACGCATAGAATGGCGAAACAGTATAATGTCCATGGTACTGATGTATATAGGCGACATCACTTTCCATGTGGGCCGTCAGCTTGTTTGTCATCTATATCATAGAATCAAATAGGTTGACTAATCTATATCATATCAAATAGGTTACTTTGTAAACAATCCCGCATTCTTAATTAATAATTTATTATTTTTCTCATTATACATGATATATTATAATATTTATGCGCTTAAACTTGGAATGTTAATATGAAGAGAAAAAATAAATGCTTTGTAAAATATAAATAAAATTTCACTTTGTGCTCCCACAATGCCTGTCCATTATATAAAAATAAAGCATTATTCCGGCGTAGTATTTTGGGTACAACCTTGTACCAAAATTGTACTTCTGAATTTGGAAATTACACCTAAGATCTGCATTAAAGTATTTTAGGTAAATAAAATACTGTTCTTTTTTGTGATTTGTTTTTTTTTTATTTCCAAAATGAATTTACAATAAACTTTATACATACACAAGTCGACCCGGCAAAAGTTGTTCTGCCATATAAATTTTTTTTTTAGTTGGAGACACTCTAGTCACCTAGCAGTATGAAATATACTTTATGACCTATTCGCATATCTACCAAATATGTATAAAAAAAACTATAAAAATCGGTCGAGCCGTTTCGGAGGAGTTCGATCAGAAAGACCGTGGCACGAGATTTTTATATACGAGATAAATGCCAAATAATTTTCGTGAAGAAATTGGAGGACAAAGATTTTTGAAGAATAAGCTTAACCTCACATTAACAACCTATTAATATTCTATACCTCGGTTTTCTCCCTTAAAAAAGGATTTATTATCATAACAATCCAGATAAGAAGAGGATATAGCTCAATAGATTGATATAAATGGCAGGGAATTGACATATTCAGCCAGGTATTAAAAAAAAAAATAAAGGACCCAGTGTCCTTATGGTGCAGAGACCAAGAATTTTCTTGCGAAAGGTCAAAGTTTGCTATCGTGAATTATATAAAAAGTCTGTTTCTATAAATAAAATAAAAAAATTGCGCAGAAGAAATTGCATTTTTTAATTTATTTTAGAACCCGACGATAAAAGACTTATTTACATTTTTCAATAAGATTTCATAAATATTTATGTAAAAATTTTTTACCTACTATATTTTACAGTATGGATGTATTTTTTGATAAGGGATATTTAAAATAATTATTGTGGAATTAAGTCATTAGGTAGTTTCATGATAGTAATCCAACGATATTGTCCATCTAGTAGGTAAGTGATAAAGAAGTGGTAAAGTCATGTTTTGTTTTTTAATTCGTGGAAATGGAGTGGTAACCCCACCTGCGCTATCGGTATACACTGGCGGGGTACCAGTGATAGATGATAGGTGAAGATGAAAGCAGGTCAGTTAGCCCATCGTGAAGAATTCATAAAGGATTAACCACAATGGTTTCCAGGAGGAACTGCGTGGAGGTTGACCTGATAGGGTGTATTGTTAGCAATGGACTGTTAGAACCCATTACTAATAATCCCTTTCCCCCCAAGATCATATGTTATATCAGGCGTTAACTGTCCACTGCTGAACATAGGCCTTCCTCACAAGGGCGGTTTAGTAATTGTTACGCTTGGCAGGTTGGTTGGTAAATGCAGTTAGACTTTGGTGAAGTTTTAAGGGGGACGTTGCTACCTATCCCGCTATCATTAAGTTTCCTTAGTTGCCTCTTACGATTACCATGGGTAAGGATGGGTTTTTTTTAAATGGATGATAATGGTATGGTAGTTCCGCCTGCGCTATCGGTATACACTGACGGGGCACCAGTGAGGGATGAATGGTGAGGATGAAAAGGCAGGTCAGTTAGTCCATCGTGACGAATTCAACGATAAATTAGTCACGATGGTTTCCAGGGGGAACTGCGTGGAGGTCGACCTGATGATTGATAGCAGTGGGAACTAACCACCCCATTACTAACAATCCATTTCCTCCGGTAAGGATGGGGTAGACCATCCTATGCTGGGACCACATGGTGAATAGATCACATGTAATAAGTTATAACAATAATTATAATAGAGAAAATAAAGGCTTGTAATATAAAAAAAAAACATTTAAAATCTAAATTGAAAAAGGAATTTAAAACAAAAAAGGAATGCTTTTTTCATTTGTTATTACCCATGTCTCTAATAGTTTAAAAAAGAAACAATAAAAAAGAAAGTAAGTATATTTTTTGTACAGTTTATAATTTATAAATCGTAATGATATTATTGAATTACCATTAAGTAAGTTAAATACATATAAGATTTTTACTTATTCACATTAATTAAAAAAATATAAATTTAATTGACAATTAATAAATTAAGGACTTTAGTTTTTTATTTATTATAAACTATTTTTATATTTAACTTGAAACTCTCAAATTCTTAACTAGAAATAATGAGACTAAATTTATTTATATGAAGTAAATATTTCTACATGAATATTTTACAAGTAGCTACAGAAGTCTCTCGCAGAAAATAATATTTCACTACTATAAAAAATTTCATTGCTTTTTGCTAATAATTTTATAAACACGTTTACATTTTTGTCTTCTCATGTTTACATGTAAACAAAATTAACCAGTTAAACTTTTAATTTGGATTTAACAGTTGGATTTAACATACGTACTCCTGGAATGCATACGATATTTCTATCCTTTCCTTTCTATTCACGTGAGCAAAGACACAGGCTATAATTAGTATTATGAGCATACCGGAGCAATCACGCGTCTTTCTTAGAATCTGAAGCAATTTTAGAGAGTGCTCCTTGATAATTCGACTGAATTGGGGATTTTCTTTTAATGCGACGTAATTATATTATGTCGACGGTAGCAACATTTGAAAGTCAATTTCCTATAATGATCGGTTTAATTTGGAAAATTGGTTCATTATGATAAGAGATCTATATCATTTCAATAATTGAAACGCAGAGGTATTGAATTTTATTCCAATACGCTTTGTCGCCATTGTGGGGATATTCAATTGTATTGTATTGTATAATAATATATGGATATTTCAATATTTAATTATGTCAATTTGAGATTCAATCTTAAATTTTTATGTATGCTATTATCTTGGCTTTTTTTTTGTGTTTGCTAACAAACAATACTTTGGCAAAATAGTGTTATATGTAGAAATTTTGGCTCTGAAAAAAAAATTGCAACTGTGTCAAAATTAATATTATTATATTTTTTAAGTGTTAAAATTTCTGACTATAAAAGATAAGATAAGACTTCATATAAAAGTGTAAGTTAAATTCTGATTAAAATGAAAAAGTTCTTTGTCAAAGTAAATCTAACATTCCATACTAAATTGAGAACGAGACAAATTACAGTCGTTATTTCACTTCTCTCATGTAGTGAATACCAAGTGAATATTGAATGCTTCAATTGAAGATCGCGTTCATTTTACACTCGATTTTTCTATCTTTTTACAGAAATCAGTCAATGCTGTTCGTTTCTATAAGCCTCTATTGATTTTGAAATCAAATACTCTTTTACATGAAAATCTTTTAATTTTCACGTACGGGTTTGCAATTAGATAATCAATCAAGCTCGTGATCGCATCATAGTTACTCATGACTAAGGATCACGAATTG